TCTGCTTGTTCATCTGTTCAATTGGATATTTACTTTCTATTCAGTGGCAAGCAACAAGTGAGGTCCTGATTAGAAACAAAATATAATGCTCGCTTTCATTTTCAGGGAAGCAATTATCCAGGAACTAGGTCTGCTACAAGATCTTAATATGTGAGACTCATTTGCAATTATATTTTCACTTTTAATAAGACATTTCAACCTTTCACATTTACTGTGAATGGCTCTATCAACAAACAGCACAGCAGCTGGGGATTTAGGCTGGTGGCACCACATCTGCCTCACAAGCACAAGGTCCCGAGTTCAATCCTTAGTACAAAACAAACGAACAGCACAGCAGAGTCCACCTGTAAGGATTCAAGCTGGGGGAAAATGATAGGTTGCTCCTCTGGATTTTATTTAAAAAAATAAAAATATTCTCAACCTTTGATGTCTCGTTATCTGGAATGGCAGCGATGGAAATAAACACAGATGCTCTATCAAATGGAGACACGTCATTCATTTAAGGACATTCCACACACCACACGTGAACTGTCATCATCTGACCTACTTACTCAGAGACCTCATTCTTTCTTTGAAAAGAATTAAAACTTAAATTTTGTGGTTCTACAGAGCTACAAAGGAAACGATCTTTCATAAACAAAATAAAAATGGAACAAATGACAAGATTCTGTATTACGAAAAGAAGTAAGAAAACATGCAGAAAAGGAAGCACACATTTCTGGAAAAGAATTTACCTAAGGGGAAAATGTTAGATGGCTGAGTGGATCCCCAAAGAAGTTAAACAAATCATGAATTCTATCATATAAGATATTTCAAAAAGAAAGTAATTGTAAGAAAGGAAATTATAGCACAGAAAATTTTAAATTAGAAGCAGCAACAGTAGAGAAATAAATTTCTACTACAGGAAATTAAATGAGTGCCATGGATAACAAGAATTAAAAGTCTCTAAGCTCATCAAAGGGCACAGTGATGAAACGGACAAAAGCTACATTCGCCAGATGCTGTGGGGCTGAGCCTACTACTCACTGATGTCACTTAAAACAGACACAGCGAAGATGTGAGGAAAACTGCTAAACTGAAGGAAGATCAGAATCTGAAAATCAACAGACATCAAGTGCCACGCAAAACTCACGAAAAGTGAATACATGTCAACCTTTTTTGTAATTGTTCAGGTCAAGAAATAATTTGACAGGCAAGAAGAAAACAAAGCAAAACAAAATAACATGCTACCTACAAAGGAAGAAGAAACATTTTAGTCTGATTCTTGACAAAATGAAATGTGAGAGACTTGGAACCATATTTCTAGACAGGTACAGGGGAAAATTGTCAGCCACTGTACTATTGTTATAGCTGAACAGAATGGGTGTATCACTCACTCACCGTTCCACACAAGCGCTCACACAGCTAAGGGAACTACAGGCTATCTCAGGAAGAGGTGAAGAAAGAACCCATTCTACAAGTGTGGCTGGTGATCTGGTGCAGGGTCTAAGGAAGCAGAGACTCACGCTTGCCCGGGTGCTGCCAGGGAACAAGGTCAAAGCTCGTCTAAAACTGTGATGGGTAAAAAGGACTTAGCAGTCGTCGTGTTAACAGAGGAGACGTCTGGTACTTTGTGGTAGCACGACGACCCTGTTTCTGTCCTTACCTGAATGAAATGATGAGATGTCCTTCTTTTACCTCACTCGTTCACGGCCTCTGAGTAACATGGCCTGAGACTGGAATTCTGTGATACTGTTTATGTTCACCAAGAGAATAACATGGGCTACCTGTGACTGTGTGGACAACTTCCAGATGTCCGAAGTCGCTCTTTTTCTTGATTATCATTAAAACAAAACAAAACAAAAAACCATATACCCAGTAAAACTGGTCATGTATAAAGGCAAATGAGAGATTTTCAGATATGTAAAAGTTTAGAACTATATTACTCATCTATCCTCTCTTAAAAGAACTGTTTGGATGGAGGGGGTGGTAAATGCCTATAATTCTAGCCTTCAGGAGATTGAGACAGGAGGATCTCAAGTTTAAGCTCTGCCTGTGAAGACCTTTCTCAAAAAAAACTACACTCCAGGGGCCAGGGATTTAGCTCAGTGGTGCCACCACCTGCCTTGAAAGTACAAAGTCCTGAGTTTGATCCCAGGTACAAAAAAAACAAAAACAAAAAAACTACATGTACAACAAAGTATTCAAAAAGGTTAGAGACAGGTGGTAGAATCATTCAAACAGAAAAATGAAGCCTGTTAAGGCAAATGGTATTTTAATAAATGTTTTGCTATTTTTTCAAAAATGTTATTTTTAAAACAGAAAATAACAGCCAACCATGATGGTAATATGCCCATAATCCCAGCCCTCTGGGAAGCTGAGGCAGGAGAATCAGAAGTCTGAGATCAATGAGGACAATTTACTGAGACCCTGTCTCAAAGTTAAAAAATACAAAATGGCCAGCAATGCTGCTCAATGCAAAAGCCCTGAGTTTAATCCCCAGTGCCAAAGAAACAAACAGCAAGAATTAAAACAACAACAAAAAACTCAGAAAGGAGCCTAAAATTCGCTCTCTTTTTTTTTTTTACAGGCTTGTTATGTTGCCCAGGCTGGCCTTAACCCCTTAGGCTCAAACAACCCTAACGCCTTTGTCTCTAAGTAGCTGTGATGACTGGAACAAGTCACCGCATCTAGTTAACACAACAATGCTTGAAAGAGAAGATGCACCTCTTAGACAAAAGCTATCTCTCAATAACTTTTTACTATGCTAAGAAGCGGGGGGGGGGGGTATACCAAGTAAAGTCAGATCTAAAATTTCATTTTATGCAAACAAACAATCCAGGAGCATGGGTAGAAAGTTAAGAATGGGCAGCATCAATTGTTTCATTATTCAATTGAAATTTACAGAAACAGATTTAACACGAGCGGCCATTAGCAAATTCAAATTCAAAACAACTTATATAAATACTTGATGAATAAGAAATTTTTGTTTGTTTGTCTTTTGTACCGGGGATTGAACTCTGGCCCTTGTGCTTGTGAGGCAGTCGCTGGAACCACCCAGCTAAATCTCCAGCCCCACGATGAATAAGAATTTTAAAAAGCACTGATACTATACTAAGATACGAAGAAATGCTACTAACCAGTTAATAATGCAGTAGAAAAGCTAGCTGTCAAATATAAAGAGGACTATTTTAATGTACAACTATAGAAGTAATTCGGGTATTCAGATTTTGTCACCTGAATGAGTGCGCATTATACACCTGCGTATACTTCCCCAACCCACACCTCAATGCCCTCCCTTCTATAGAGACAATGGCTGGATATAAAATAAAATCATGACTATTGCTACGGCCAAAGGACACTTAGCCTCAAACAATCAATCATCCCAAACAACAAAGGTGAGTTTTGTCAAACACATGCTGTAGGAATCGCTGTGTCCAGGAATAACAACACCTACCTCGAACTGTGTCACCGCAGCGTAGCGCACCTCTCCAGAAGGGGTGGTGTATTTACTTCTATAGAAACCTTTCATTTTGTCATTCAGCTCTCCAACAAAATCTATCTTTAAGGTTCCTGTGCCTGTGATTGAAGATAGATTAAAAACCCCTTTTATTGCAATGTTCAATAGTTACCAAAAACATGTCCTCAAGAAACTACGTTCAGGTGGCTCTTTACAATGCTCAAACCCTCCCTTCCTTCCTTCCCCAAACACTCGTCCTGGCACTGGAGAGAATACTCCATTTATAAGGTAAACGGCAAACTCGTCCTAAAATAACTTCAAGTCATGTTTAGGGTGACTGCTTTAAAGTTCTTTAATTTTATTAACTTGGTTTCAGATTACCAGTACATGAAGGTAAGAACAGGAAAGGAAATATTTATTATTAAATGCCAGACACATGCTATTGAGCACGGGGCTTTTTAGATATTTATGACTATTTATAAAATCCCCATTTTTTTCAGATGAGAAAACTGAGGCTGAAAGGATAAGTACCTGCCAAAGGTCATACAATTAGTAAGCAACAAGAATAGGATAAAAAGTTTTAACCTGGGCTGGGGATTTAGCTCAGTGGTGCCACTGCCTGCCTGCATTGCAAGTGCAACGGAGTTGGATCTCCAGTACCAAAAAGAAAAAAAGTTTTAACCCAATTTCATGTTCTCTACCAGTCACTATGTGGGTTGGTTTTCAGGAACTTTGTGGATCACTGAAGATAAATGCTATCCAGGCAATGCAAATGGAGCACCGACTGCATACTTTTATAAGGGAATCAGTGGAAGACCACTGATTTCAACAGCAGAAGGGCGTAAAAAACTCTGACACCTCAATCATGTGAACACACTGATATTAAAGAAATAATATCAATAAATTAAATCCAAATAAATTCAATCTAAACATATATTCTTTGTTTTGTTGTTACCAGGGATCCAATTCTGGACCTTGCACTTGTGAGGCAGGCGGTGGAATCACTGAGCTAAATCTCGGTCCCTAAACATATATGCTAATATTGTATAATAGCAAAACCCGTTTGGACAAAATCTGAGTTTCTATGAATATATGTACATATGTATGCTTTTGTTTTATTTTTGCAGTCCTAGGGGTCAAACTCAGGGGCCCTCTACTACTGAGCTACATCCCCAGTCCTTTTTTATTTTTATTTTGAGATGGTCTCAATACACTGTCCAGGTAGACTCAAACTTGCTGTCTGTCTCTGCCTCCCTCGGTGCTAGGATTATAGGTGAGCACCATCATGCCCAGCATTGCACAACTTTAATAACAGAAAAAGACAATCACTATCTAGCAGACATCTGTAAATTTAGATGCATGGCAAAACTATAATCCCATTCCACATGCTGTATTATAAATCAAATCACAGAAACACTCAGAAAAATGCTGATGTTGTAATTTCAAAGTGCCTGTTTTATAACAAGATCTAGCACATGGAAGTCTAACAAATAAAAGATAAGGTGTGATTGTAAAGTAATTAACTAATTACATCAAGCTTTTATATTCTAAAGTTCCAAGCTGTCATTCTGGAATGTTGAAGAAAAATGACTTTTTTTTTTTTTTTTTTTTTTTTTTGAGACTGGGTTTTCCTGGTGTTGAGACTTCAGGCTGCTCTTGAACTCACAGTGATATTCCTGCCTCAGCCTCCCAAGTGCTGGGATTACAGGCGTGCGCCACCACTCCCAGCTCAAAAAAAACGACACTTTAAATTGGTCAAAATGTTCCAGGCTTTCTTTCCTAAGCTATTTTTTTTTTGGGGGGGGGATGATCTTATGTCAAATCTTCATCTTCTAAAGCTAAATTTGCTTTTTGAAAAAGTCCAAAATGAAAAGGAGTACAAGTCGACAGAGTAAATGAAGGGTAAAGTGGCTTTTATACAAAAGCAAAGCATATTCATGAAGGAATTAATGTGCCTTTTTTCTTATGTGCCTCCAACTGGTTCTAAAAGTCATTTAAGTGAAAATTTCAGACCTCTGCAGCAAAGTCATCCCTACAGAAAGTGCTACATTCTTATAGTAATCACACTAAAATAACATCAATGACTCGAGCTTCATGAATACATTATCTATGATGGTCATTATTTTTACATTTATGAATATCTGAAGTGATAATGAAAAATTTTTGGGGGGGTGCTGGAGATGAATCCAGGGCATCACATATATTCCAAACAGGCCCTTTACCTACCACTGAGCTACACCCTGGCACCAAGAATACTTTTTTTTTTTTTAAAAAGACAGGGTCTTGCTGTGTAATTCAGGTTGGCCTTGACCTCACAAGGATTCTCCTGCCTCTGCCTCCTAAACACTGGGATGACAGGCGTGCACCACCACACCTAACTACCAGTGAATATTTTGTACTTTACAAGAATGACAGATTACTGGAATAGTAAACATGAATACAGTAATCTATAAGAATTCTAAACCATTAATACTAGATAAACAACATACAATATAGAATTTAAGTAAAAATAATTAAGAATTTCTTTTTCTATTTCTTTAGGAATTCACTAAATTTTTTTTTAGGATTTCACTCAATTTTTAAAACAGCAGATCTATTCATATTAATAAATTTTGCAAGACATATTTACTGGATTCTAAAACCCCACTTATCTTTAATAAGAATTTGTTTGATGGAATTTTGTCATAATCCCAAAAATGGAATAGCTAGTATATTTTCACGAAGTCATCTGTTAAGATTTTTCAAAACGTTAACTCATTTCAAGGTAAATCCTTCAACTTTTCCTATTTGGAACAAATGTGGCTTTTAAACTCATAACTAAATAAGAAAGGCTGCTTACACTTTTACTCGGTTTTAAATCTCCAAGTCCATCAAACCATAACAAGATATTGACAGTGACCACTTCCAAAAAGTGGCATACTAAATAAAATACAAAGTATTGGAAAGGCTTATTACCTGAAATTCAAACAAAACACAAGTTAAAGTTTTCAAAAATCATAAATAAATTTAGTGTCACATTATACAATACTAATTACAGAATATTACTGTTAATATAGTAGAATTTTAGGATAGGCAGGAGCAAAAGGACTTTTTGGCAAATTTCACTTAGCAAATTTATAACATATTTATACCATAATGAGCTGATTTCCAGTTGGTCTAATTCTATACCTATTCGCACACACAATTTACACTGCTTCCTCAAATTAGTACCTTATTTCATTATCCAATGTATTTATCTGTTTAAGTGGTAAAGTTTTTATAACATAATGAGCTCATTTATAATTAGACAACTTAAAAAAAGGGACATCCACCAAAAGCCTTACATGTTTAAAGTTCAGGAGAGTATAACTGTTGTAAAACCAGAAGTAGATCTTTAATATTTTAACAAAAAAAGAAAGAAATTTAATGAGCTTACAAAAGGCAATAAAAGGCAAATGAAATTATACAAAAAGTGAGTAAAGTCTTTGCCTTTATGTCACCACTTCTTATATTATCCCATTTTTCACTTTAAAATGCTAAGAATGACTACTTTTTCTCCACATAAATACCACTCTACAGACCCCTAAACACTGAGTCTGAGGTTGTCAGACCCTACACGCTTATGACAGCTTCTCCACCATTCTAGAATGGTGCCATTTCCAGAGAAATCAGCCGACTGTTAAGTCTGATGGAGCTGAACACAGAGATTGCTAAAGTCATCATCACACATGCAGTATCCCCTCCTGCAATGTGCTAAAATTTCATTTTTTTTTTTTTTTAAACCAGTACTAGGGATTAAAGTCAGGGCACTGAGCTATATCTCCAGCCCATTTTTAAATTTTAAGACAGGGTTCTCGGCCAAACTGGCAAGGCTGGGTTTCAACTTGCAATTCTTCTGCCTCAGCCTCCCAAACAGCTGCGATTACACGAATACACCACCATACCCAGCTAGAACTCTTTTTTGGGGGGTGGCGGGTAGCAGGGATTGAACTCAAGAATTTGTGCTTGGGCCAGGGATTTAACTCAGTGGTTCCACTGCCTGCCTCTCAAGCACAAGTTTGGTATCTGGTTCCAAAAAAAAAGAACTTGTGCTTGTGAGGTAGGTGCAGCGCCATTGCGCTACATCCCCGGCCCTAGAACTTCATTTTTTTAACATTTAGTTTTTTCTTTCCAATTGACACATAACAATTGTACATATTCATGAATTAAAAGCTTCACTGTCACAGCAAAAAATGGGTAACTCTGACCCTAAGAACTTGGTCAAATGTGAAGACAAATGACTATTAAACAGGTTTAATATATTCAATATAGTCACACTTACAGGATTTTCTTTACTTAACATCTATCAGTTATTTGTTATATTAGCTAAAAGATGTTCACAAAAATAGTTAAAACTATGCTGAATTGTAGTATAGTAATAGTTGCAACCTTTCCTGACTTGATCCTGCTCTTATTTCAAATCATTTCACCACTGATCAAGTCTGGGCTGGGGACGGGATTCTGGCAGAGACACCTGCTTAGCAGGTACAAGGCCCTGGGTTCAACCCCCAGCACAGGAGGTGGAGGGGGGGGAGAGACAGGGAGAGAAGAATGATGCAGTTGTTATTAAAGTGATAATAAATGATCTCATATATAAGTATATATACACACAAATATATCACACACTCAAGGGAAAAAGAAAGGTGCAAATTTATATACGGCAGGATAATGTTTACATTTTAAAAGTGCACACATAAATGTGAAAATGGTATCTTTTTTTAAGGATACACAGGAAACTGCTCTTGAGTAGAACTGAGAAATGAAGACAGGATAGACCGGCAAACACATTTTTGCAATACATTTGAATTTCAAACTAATTACCTGTATGCTGTTGCCAAATATTTAATTTTTAAAATAAAATGTATAATGTGGTTAGAAATACAGACTTTTCATTTAAAATGCTTGGCTTTAAATCCTAGCTCTGTCACGCACTAGCTGAGAGACTTTGTACTAATTATTAAGTTATTTAAACATTTGTGCCTTGGATTCTTTAGCTATAAAACAGTTCATAGACTCTCACAGGGCTGTTGAGAGAATTAAGTAAATTATTAGCATTATGAGTTTCTCTTGAAAAGGTGAGGCTAGAACCAAGCTTACACCCTCTGGCCTCAGTCTCAGATGTGTGCCACTTTACCTGTTTGTTTTGTTTTGTGTTTTTGAGGCAGTCTCGCTATGTAGTTCAGGCTGGCCTCGAATTCAGAGTAATACTCCTGCCTCAGTCTTCTATGCTGGGATCACAGGTGTGCGCCACCACAGAAGTTTTTCATGATTTTATTTTGTAACCATGCTGGGGACTAAACTCAGGACCTATTTTCTTCATGCTACCTGCTTTTCTTGTATAACTCTGAATCTGATACTTAGCTAATTAATTTCCAGTCTTCCTAAACTAAATATCATCTTTGTATATTTTATCTAAATCCCTCATGTGGTAATTTCCTTACTCACTTCTAAGTATTTTATTTTTTGTTTTATTTGAGACAAGGTCCCCCTACAGTGCTCAGACTGGCCTGGGCTAGGTGACCCTCCTACCTCAGGCTCCCAAGCAGCTGGCGGCAGAGCATGTACCACTATGCCAGCTTTTGCTAATTTTTAAAACAAGTCTTTTTTTGACGCATTATTCATGCAAATTACATGAGAAAGGGTTTTTTAATTTTTTGATAACTAATTTCAAATCATTTCAGTGTGAACACAGAATGTAGCCTGTGATTATATTAATTTAAACCTTTTAAAAATTTTAATTTTAGTCTTATCAAAGTAATCGTTCATAAATTAAAGCTCATGGAAGCCAGGTGTGGTGATGCACGCCTGGAATCTCAACTACTTGGAAAGCTGAGGTAGGAGGAGTCCACATTCCAGTCCAGCCTGGGCAATTTAGCCAGACCATGTCTCAAAATAAAAAAAGAATATAGCTTAGCACGCCCCAGATTCAGTCTCCTCCAGCAACACAAAACAAAACCCAAATACCACTACGTGGAGGCTTATGTATATAAGATGCTGGACTTGCCAAATCAGGACCTTGTGCTTGGGAGGCAGGCAGCAGAACCACTGAGCTAAATTCCCAGCCCAGAAGCAAGCGATTTTAACGCTGATTTCTAAATACTAGTTTATTCAGTGTAACTATTCAGTTTTCTGTTTCAGACATTATTTTTCTCTTTACCAGAGAAGCTAGTCCTTCCCTCCATCTCATATCTTATACACACAATTAAATTTCCTATCCACCTTGCAAATCTGAAAATTTAGTTATTTCACTCCCATACATATTCATAGCTTGGCTAAACACAGAATTCTAGTTTGGAAATCAGACTCACTTAGTATACTGATGCAATAGCTTTCTTAAGGTCTGGTTTCCACTGTTCCTACCAGAGTCTAGTGCTATTCTGACTCCTGAACTTTGAAGGCAGTATGTCAGCCTTCCTTTCTTCTGCTCTACCCCAAAAAAGAAACTCTCAAAAGCCTCAACTTATTCCAAAAGTTTAAAATTTCCTCTGGTGAGGTACTTTTATGTTTTTTGTTGTGGGTGTTTTGAGACAGGGTCTCACTATGTAGTTCATTCAGGCTGACCTTGAACTCACTATGTAGCCTGGGCCGGCTTTGAATTTGCTGCGATTCTCCTGCCTCGGCCTCCCAAGTGCTGGGATTACAGGCGTGTGCCCCACATCTGGCTATTTTTAAGATTTTATTGAGTTGGTTTCTCTCAGTGATGTACCTCTGCAAACTAAAGACTCCTGCCTCATCAGTTCAAACAAATTCCTTATTTTGTATCTTTACTAAATTCCTGTTCCCATTTTCTCTGTCCTCTCACTAAGTGATGTTGGTGTTTTGCTTTATTGTTGCCATTGTTTTGGGTTTTTTTGGAAATAGGCTCACTAAGTCACCCAAGCTGGCCTCGAATTTGCAATCTTCTGCCTCAGCCTCCCAGAATGCAGGATTGCAGGCATGTGCCATCATGCCTGGTGGTCAAAAGTCTTGCTAGATAGACTGGTGCTCAAATCTTGTTTTTTTGTTTCCATTTCTTTATTTTCCTACTGTTTGGGAGATTCCCTGATTTCATTTTCCAAACTCCTTTTTTTTTTGGCACCAGGGATTGAACTCAGGACCTTGCATTTGTAAGGAAAGTGGCAGCACCACTGAGCTAAATCCCCGGCCCCTATTAAATCTTCTTCTAAAAGTACTTTTACATGGAGATAATAAGAGTCTCGGTATAAAAATTTTATAAACCAGACAACAGGTACAAACAAGAATAAAAATCACCAATTACGTCAACACTCAAACATAACCCAGACATCATTTTATTTGTACCATTTTAGAGACATGATCCATTGACCTGAATGTGTACCTTTATAATGTGATTTTCAATTTTATTTCATACTGAGTACTTTATAGTGTTAAAAATTCACAAACTTTTACCACTAAATACATTTTATTGATATGTCAAAATTAGTTTAACTATGCCCTCAGTGCTGGATAAATATATTCTGATTTTTTACCACCATACAGAATGTCTTGGGACATTTCTGGGGAGAAAGCATCTCCTATGCTATGACGGCTCCTTAGAATACATTGTTATTAGCAGAACTGTGGAGTCAAAAGCCATGAATATATTTAGGCTCTTGATATATACTGCTTGTCCAAAAAGTGACACGGATTTACACTCCTACTAGTAATATCACAGCAGCTGTATGGTTGGAAATTTCTTTTTTTAACCTCAGCTTATATGACAAGCAAAACTTTGCTTAGTAGTAGCTGCCATTTTGTTATTTCCATTACTAGGAAGCTGAATCTTTTTACAATCTTAATAGTTATTTGTATTTTCTTCTTTATGAATTACCTATTCCTTTTTAATTGCTAATCTATCAAATTCTTAGGTCTTTGCCAATTGATTTGCATATAATTTCTTCTATCTTAAGCTCAATTTTCTATTTCCTTATGATTTTTTTATAGCTAACAGTAGTAACATGTCAATAAATCTTCCCCTTCTGTGCCCTCACTAACATACTGCTTAGCTAACCTCTGGCTGTACATCAAAACCATGTGTGAAATATTCACCTTAGAGATTTGGCTTCAAATAATAGAAGATGAAGCTAGATAAACCTGAAACAAAAAAAATGTATTATATTCTACACTACAGTGATCCTTAGTTTTTGTTCTGGTTTGTTTCTTTCTTTGCTTGTGGAGAATAAAAAGTGACAGGACGTAGAGACCTGGTTTTCCATAACCCATAATTCTTAGAGAAAATTCTGATGCTGCAAATGTTGCAATGAACCATTTTTATTTAAATGGTTCTTTCTTAAAACTTAATCTGCTAATAACAGTAAGAGCAGAAAGGTATACAATAAATATCCTTGGAAGAAGTAAGATGCCATTATTTATCATGGGTTTTACACAAGCCACACTCTTACCTGTTTGGAGAGTGCTAGGAAAAGACAAGGTGACTTTTTCATCTTCATTCTGATAATTAAACCCCGTGGCATGTATTTCTAGAAAAGGAAAAAAAAATTACTTCATAAATCTCATTCGATTGAGGAGACCAAATCTAGATTGCAACCAATAACACTTTCCACAGTAAAATCTCTAATACAAAATATTCATCTAGTAAATCAAGTTGCTATTAACCAGAGTGTTGTTTCAAATTAACCTATTTTAGGCCCATGGCCTAAGTATGCTCCTTAAATATAATTACATTCTTCTTTCTTTCGAACCCAGGGCCTTTGCATTGAGTCGAATCCTCAATCCTTACAAAAATTCCTCATTTTGCAACAGAGTCTAGTTAGGTTGCAAAGTTGCTAATGCTGGGCATGAACTTGGGATCCTCCTGCCTCAGCCTCCCACGGGGCTGGGATTACTATGCCCTGTCTTGGTCACTCTCTAGGTTGCAGTCTTACTCATGAACATTTGATGTGGTAAACTGCCAAGACTCTGATGTTAATGATTTTGATGGTGATGAAAGTTCTGTCCCTACAAGACAGATGATAATTCAAACTAAGGCACAAATAACGTGCATGTTAGGTACAATTCTCTGTTGTTAAACTTTACAGAAATGAGATGAAAACACACGTGGATTAAATTAAGACGTTAATGACCAGGACTCTTCCAGGAGTATGAAGAGACTGTCTCCACCCCAGCCCAAAACAGGGCCTCACTATGTGGCCCAGGCTGGACTTGAACTTGCAACCATCCTCCTGCCTCAGCCTCCTGAGTGGTGGATGACAGGCATGAGCCACCACATCCAGCGAGAGAGAGACTGCTTCTTTGACTGCTACTTTAGGGTGCTTAGTTGAAACGTTAAGGAAAAAATCATGGAGACCAAGTTCAAACCACATACAGCAGGCCAGTCATGAAGGTGCCCTTAACAAGCATGTGAACAGACCCTTGGCACCAATAACTACCAGGCCAAGCAGGACCACACTCTACCTCACACCTACCAGAACGACTATTCCCAAAGCTGCTAGGGAAGATGTTCCTCAAAAGGTTAGGCAAAGTTGGGCCAGTGATTTAACTCAGCTGCACCGCGCCGGCCTCACAAGCACAAGGTCCTGAGTTCAAACCCCAGTACCAAAAACAATAATAATAGTAATAATAATAATAATAATAATAATAATAATAATAATAAAAGGTTAAACAGAGTTACCCTGTGACTCAGCAACTCTACATCTAACAGAAATGAAAACTCCGTCCACATAAAACCTGTACTTACATGTTCGCAGTGGCATTATCTATAATAGCTCCAAAGTGGGCTTGTGATACCCAAATGTCCAACTGATGAACAGGTAAAATGGGGTATATCCATGAAATTGAATATCACCCTTTTTTTGTAATTGAATCTTATATAACAATAAAAAGAAATGAAATGGTGATATGTACTACAACATTAGTGAATTTTCAAACTACTGTACCTACTTAAAGAAGTCAGATACAAAAGGCTACACAATCATGCAAAATGTCCAGAATAGGTAAATCAAGAGACAGAAATTAGGTCAGTGGTTACCTAGGAGTGGGAGGTTGAGGGGAAATATACGGACTGCTAACAGGTATTTTCTTTACAGAGTTATGAAAATGTTCTAAAAGCTTCTAGTTCTGCAGATCACCATACAGCTCTGTGAATATACTACCCACTGAACTGTGCACTTTAAACAGATGAACTGTACACTATGTGAATTATAGCTCAATAGAATTTCAAATGTTTACAGCATTACTATGGTTTACACATTTCTATAAAGCCAACACCCCAAAAAAAATTTTGTCTTGTTTTCTTTTCTTGAGACAGAGTCTCGCCATTAGTCCAGACTGGCCTTGAACTCAGGCGATTCTCCTGCCTCAGCCTCCCGAGTGCTGGGATGACAGACATGGGCCACCACACCTGGCTTATTTACTTATTTATTTATTTATTTTGGTACCTGAGGATCGAACTCTGGACCTTGTGCTTGCAAACCAGGCGGAGGCACCGCTGAGCTAAATCCCCAACCCCCACCCAGCTTTCTTAAAGCCAAAATTTTTACAATGTTTTTTAACTCTCTGAGCCCCTATTTCCATATCTATACAATTAAAATCATATCATTACCTACTTCCTAATTATTTGTTTTGCTTTCTTTATTAAATAAACTCAAGACCAGGGGTTTTCCTAAATACAAGTTTTCTACATACATCTGTGTGCCCTTATGATCTGGGCATCTTGGTAAGACCTTGTCTCAGAACGCAAAATGAAAAGGGCCAGGATGTAGCTGTTTCCTAAGTACAATCCCCAATACTGGGGGAGGGGGAATCAGTGCTCACAGATACTTCTTACTTCATAAGGCTCCAACAGGGCCTCCTCACTCTAAGGCAGAAGAGCCCCAGACATATGCATCATTAAACTGCAAGCAGCACAGAACCTATCTGGCCGTTCTGCATTTCTAAGTGGGCTCTATCTATATAACACAGTGAGGGTACTATTCTAATAGGCTATCTGAAAAGGCTAAGGCAAATTAGAATATGCCAAATATAAAACGATCAGACATAACAAAAAAATCCTTCTAAGATCTTATGCCTATTGTTTCCCCCACTTTGGTGGGGAGTAACTGGGGATTTGAACCCAAGGCCTTGCACATGCTAGGCAAGTACTCTACCACTAAGCTACATCCCTAGCCTTTTTACTTTGAGACAGGGTCTCATTCAGTTGCACAGGCTGGCCCTGCCCTTGTGATCCTCCTGCATCAGCCTCCTGAGCAGCTGCTTAGGGAACACCTACTGTTCCTAGTAACTGACCGCTGAAAGCCAGACGTGGCACTGCACACGCACAACTCCAGCAGACAGCGGGGAAGAGGGGGTTGTTAGACAGGACAACTCAAAGCTCAAGTCACTCCTGGGAACATGGCAAGACCCTGTCTCAAGTTAAATAGAAAGGGCTGGGGCTGCAGCTTGGTGTGAAGGCCCTGTGTTCAAGCCTGGAAACAAAAAAGAAAAAACCCAGAAAATCCGGGGAGTATTTAGCTAAAATCACTCATCAGCAGTACAAAAATTAAAGTCAGACAAATACGTGGAGTGTAGGCCTGGCTTTGCTATGATCATGTGGAGTCACACTCTCAATTAAGACAGCTCTTCATGTGTAGAACACTTATGGACATCATCAGGTGGTGGAGGGCTCTGCCCCGCCCCTCCCCTGACCCCAAAATAAAAACCAGCCAGGGGTGAGGGTCTCTGCACAGCACTGAAGGAAGAAGGCTGAGGGGTCGCCATGAGGAAGAGGCCCCAGACAGGAAGCTCTGCACTCTCTGCCACTTTTGCTCTGGGGTCATGTGCTGAGCTGGCAGAGATGCTTCAGAGGCTGAGAGGCAAAAGCTGGAACTTGCAGGCTTAGTGATACAAGTTCATAATCCCAGCACTCAGGAGGCTGAGGCAGGAGGATCACTGTGAGTTCAATGCCAGCCTGGGCTACGCAGTGAAACTATCTTAAAAAAAAAAAAAAAAAAAAAGGTGGACTCCAGGGTCCCCCAGGACTAAGAACTTTAAGACGGCTTGAGACCTGGAAAATGACATCCTCATAATAAAGATGAACTAAATTTCAGAAAACCTAAAGCTGTGGTATTAGAAAAAAACTTCCCCAAGTAGTAGAAGTAGTAGTGACCCTAAGAAGAGACAAAAAAAATCTTGTCTAGATGAAGATAACACGATCTGATGTTGTCCACATAACTTTCCTAACTCAACATCTAGTATTCAACCAAATAAACCCCAGCACATGGAAAGAACAAGACAAACAGTAAAAACAGTGAAACCCGTGGCCAACAAAATAAAACAGGACCCTCTGAATAGTAGCTAGAAGACTACTCCTGACTATATTCGAGGGGATAAAATTCTGTATTAGTGAGCTCTTTGCTACTGGGACCAAACAGCCGACGTCCACAACCTAGAGGAAAGGTTTATTTTTGGTCACAGCGATGTCAGTCTCTGATCGTCTGGCTCAGGGGACAGCTCTTCACTTCAAGGTGGCCCAGCAGCAGAGCAGGGGACAGTCCCAGCAAGGATGAGTGCAGAGACCAGACGCGGGACCAGACACAGACCCACAGCCATGGCTGCAGGACGTCCAGACACATCTACAGGTGTGGGAGCTCTCCAGACAACCAAGCTGGGAGGACCAAGGAAAATGTGGTGGGGAATGGCGCTGGGAAAACTAGATTTCCGCACACAAAATAATTAAGTTGGGATATTTACTTTTTCCACCCATATATAAAAATTGACTCAAAATGGATCACAGGTGGTGACTGGGGCACATGCCTGTGATTCCAGCTACTTGGAAGGCTAAGTCAGGAGGATCACAAGTTCATGCCATGCCAGCCTGGGCAACGCAGTGAGACCCTGGCTCCAAACAAAAATGGTCAGGGTTGTAGCTCAGCATCAGAGAACTTGTCTAGCATGCTTGAGACCCTGGGCTCGAGCCCTAGCACCTGAAAATAATAAAAATAACAACAAAAAAGAATCAAAAACCTAAATGAGAGAGCTAAAATAATAAAGAGTTTCAGAAGGAAAAAGATTCAGGACACTGAATCAGGACCACTGAAAGTGGTATGTTTTCTTTTTTCTTTCTTTTTTATTTTGGGTTTTTTGTTTTGTTTTGTTTTGTTTTGAGACAGGGTCTCACTATGTAGCCCAGGCTGGCCTCCAACTAGCAGCAATCCTCCTGCCTCAGCCTCCCCAGTGCTGGGATTACAGGCGTGCACCACCACACCCAGCCTCAACTATCTTTTCAATGGCACTTGTTTCTTGATCTGTTGGGGCCTCACCATATTTGAATAAAAGCTATATCTTATTTTTGGTACTGGGGCTCAAACTCACGACCTTGCCCTTGCAAGACAGGTGCGATGCCACTGAGCCACATCCCCAGGCCATAAACAAACATTTTAAATAGTTGACATACACATAGCCATGTGGAATATTATCCTGAGTTTATGAAACCAAGGAATACACATAATTACATTTACATTATTTATAATGACAGAGAGCAGAT